GGGGGCATTAACCTGTTCTTATGCACTATAGAATTGTAAATGAGATGATTCATCGATGTCATGCTCATAACTGTGCTAGAACTGCAAAAGGGAACTGCTCCTTACTGTCGTCATTTTTCCTCTACTTCTTTTGTATGTTTGTCACTCTCTTGTGACCTGCTATTTCCGGGGTGCCGTGATAGTCGAAGCAGACTTTGTGCCATTGAAGCCACTGCCAGAGAGGTGAGCTGAGTAAGTCTGATTCCTTGTAAGGAATTCTCTGTTGACATCCACCCATTGGCGCTCATATGACCTTATGCAGTTTCGAGCGCCGTAAAACCTCTACTAAAACTAAACTGTACTGTGGGTTCTTTTGGGTATATCATTTCTAATTTGTTGTTCCAATATGATATGCTTTACTTAGTACTGTAGGGTATTTGTGTGTGTGTGTGTGTGTGTGTGTGTGTGTGTGTGTGTGTGTGTGTGTGTGTGTACGCGCGCATGTATGCGTGTGTGTATTATTGCTTGCCCGTGTCCCTGAGATGTTCCACTGCCCCCCCCCCTCGTTGACAGTGGGTGGTTGGCGGGTGCTATGATGTGGTTTGTTTCTACTTTCCTATCAAACATCTATCGTCCTTATCTCCCCTTCTTCTTTATATGACCTTATTGTGTCGCAAGTGCCGTAAAACACTTAGTAAAATACATCTCTCCTCCTTCTTTTTATGTGTTTGTTACTCTCTTGTAACACCTCTAATCTTCTGGCGCTCATATGGCCTTATGCAGTTTCGAGGGCCGTAAAACCTCTACTGAAACAAAACAATCTTCTGCACTTATATGGCCTTATGCAGTTTCGAGCGCCGTAAAACCTCTACTAAAACAAAACAATCTTCTGCACTTATCTGACCTTATTGTGTTGCAAGTGCCGTAAAACACTTACTAGTACTCATCATCATCATCCAGTGTCAGATCTGCGACTGACCTCGGCGATCATGGTTTACCATTCATTCCTTTGCCCGGATGCTAAAAAAAAAACTACATTTCCCTGATATTTCCCTGTTACCCATTTGTTTAGGTTCCCTAAGTATGTTGTTCTGGGTCTACCCCTGCCTCGCTT